TTTTTATTATATTTTTTTTATAATATATAATATTAATAAATTTGACAAGAATTTTTAATTTTATATAAAATAAATTTCGATATATGACGGAATATTTTACCTGATATTTTTTTTAAAAAAATTGTAAAATTATTTATAAAATCTGAAAAATATAAATAAAATTTGAAATTAAATAAAAAATCCGTGACCTTTTGAATAAAAAAATGGAAAACTAAATAATTTCCATATATTGGGAAAAATTTAACAAAATACCTCAAAAATATAATAATCATATAATTTCACCAAAAACAAATGTCATTATCATCAATTCCCGATGCCAGGAAAAAAAATATATATATCGAGATATAAAAATAAAGGAAATCCAAAAAAAAATATTTTGGGTTATTGATTTTAGTTTCCTTTATCTGGTCGGTTTTTTTGCATTATTTTGTTTTCTAATTCCTCGTTGATATTTTTGAATTAATTTTGCCCAAAAAAATATTTTAATTTCTTAAAAACAATAAATTATATTAATGATATAAATGAAGGAACCCTGTAGCGCAGAAAAAAATCCCCTGTGCAGAAAAATGATATATTATAACACGAAAAAAAAATTGAAATATCCTATTTCTAAGGAGAAAAATTGTGGAGATTTTTATAACGGGACAAGTTCGATGATGTGGGAAATATGAGCGCAGAAGAGTTTATTAAAAAAATATTGAGTTGAATTTTAAAAATTATATAAATTATTTAGTTCCTTTACCAAAATTTTCAAAATCGAAAATAAAAATTGAAAAATCTCAAGAAAGGTCTAATTAATAACGAAATTTTAAATATTGGGCCAAGAAAATTAATATTACGCACGAAATTCTTGTGGAATTACTCCATATCTAGGTCATTGGACACCCATCCTTTTACTTCTGATTTAAGGTGTAAAAATTTAGAATTTAAATTGATATTTCAGGATCTTAATTTTGTTCGTTGATGTCGCACGTACAAAAGTAGTATGTGTTATTGTCACAGAAAGCCTGTCAGAATCAGAAATTGGTTTTTATGGCATATTCAAGGTACCATTAAATATTTAATAAAAGCCTCCGACAAATAAACTCACAATCAACAAAAAAAGATATTATTCGGGGGAATTCTTTATATGTTTTTTCGTGTGATTATTTCACAATAAATTAAAAATTAATTTCGGGGTGTCCTCTTGGATACTGAATTTTCGATGACTAATTTTTCCTCAATTGCAAGAATTCTTTATTATGTGCTAATTCAATTCATTTTGCTGGATTTTATAATTTACTATTCCCTGTACCGATACTAGTGATTTTTTTGAACGCTCCATTTGGCCAGAAATAATAGTTTTTCACTCTGAATTGGGCCCCAAACTCTCATATCTGGTTCAGACATACAAAAACATTTTTCGGACGTTTTAGGAGCACCCCAAACGTTTTTCCTTGACTACAAGGAAGCTCTCGTACTAACACCTTCAGCTACTTTTT